TCTGACCCCCGTCCTCCTTTCAGGGTGGAGCCTGCTGGAGGCCGATTCTTGACACCAGGTCTGAGGAAGTGTAAGTGTGTTTTTCATCTGATTCATGACAACAAAGCAGCTCACATTCAACCATCTTCAAACTGTCACATCACTCATTCAGGATCATCATCAAAGATCAATAAATGATCAATAACTGCAGCTGGATTGTGTTTGTTCTCTCCATCAGATTCCTGTCAACTCACCATCGACACAAACACAGTCAACAGAGAGCTCAAACTGTCTGAAGACAACAGGAAGGTGACATTAGTGGAGGAGCTTCAGTCATATCCTGATCATCCAGACAGATTTGATTATTATCATCCTCAGCTGCTGTGTAGAACTGGTCTGACTGGTCGCTGTTACTGGGAGGTCGAGTGGAGAGGAAGAGTTTATATATCAGTGAGTTACAGAAGAATCAGGAGGAAAGGAGAAAGTACAGACTGTTTGTTTGGATATAATGATCATTCCTGGAGTCTGAGCTGCTCTGATGTTTATGGTTACTCTATTTGGCACAATAACATAAAAACTCGTCTCTCCTCCTTCTCCGTCTCTCACAGAGTATCAGTGTATGTGGACTGTCCTGCTGGCATTCTGTCCTTCTACAGAGTCTCCTCTGACTCACTGATCCTCCTCCACACCTTCAACACCACATTCACTGAACCTCTGATTCCTGGATTTAGGATCTATTGGTCCTGCTCTGGTTCCTCTTCAGTGTCTCTTTGCTGATTTGAGTCTAAATATTTTCCTCCTGTCAGAGAAACTCTCTCACTGTTGAACAGATAGTTCATCTCTACAATCTATTTCTTGGTGAAACTTTTCTGATTGAGTCCTTGGAAACTTTTTCTTCTTCCAGTCCTTTAAAGATGGAAGCTGGGATTATTCCAGGATTATTCCAGGATTATTCCAGGATCCATGTGTTTTCTATTTGTTTCCAGTCAAAGCTTCACACTGAATATCAAGATGTTGTTTCTCTTATTTTTTCCTTTCATTCATCAGATTTTATTGAAATGTTCAGTTTTTCTCAATCACAAGATATTTTACATTTCTGTCGGCTCCTATTTTTCTAAATATGTCAGATTCAAATGTTAAATGCTCCTTTTTTATATTTGGCGCAGTTATAGTCCTTGTGGTAATTATTTTCTAATGATCGGTGGAAACTCCAATAACACACTGAACCTGTCCATACCTCCAGAAAAAAGCTATCCTAATTATAACTGCATACGATCAGGTTTGATTATGTTTTTTATGAGTTTGTCTACCGAATTATCTGATATTTTTTGGAGATGTTTTAGAAAAATATACAGGAAAGATTCTTCTGTTTTGATGATGATTTATGTATAACAAAGTGAAGGTTTAATAAGTTTGTGCTCCAACCTAAACTTTTTTCACCTCCACACTTTGTGTTTCTGCCATTGACAAGAATTTAAATGTTTATTTCTATATTTGTTTTGTTCCGTTTTTTCATTTTTTATTTGTGTATGTAAAAGTTCAAATGACAGAAAAATCAAATAAATGAATATATACCTCTGAACTTGGCTGTGGTTCTGGTTCTTCTGGACCTCCTGATGAGTCCTTAATGAGCTCTTAGTGGTTCTGGTGGGTCGGCCTCTCCTGGAAGGTTCTCCACTGTTCCATGTTCTCCATGTTGGATCCTGGTTCTACTGAGGTTCTCTGGAGTCCAGAACCTTACAGATGGTTCTGGAACCGTTTCCAGACTGATGGATGTCAGAGACTTTGTTTCTCTGCTGGTTCTGAGTTTTTAGATGATGTGTTGCTTCCAGATCTTTATCCATCAGAGGTTCTGTTAATATAATTTATTGGACCTGCAGGTAATAATCAGGTCTGAGTTCACTGGGAGATTCAGCTCAACTTTATAAAAATGTAGTTTAATCAAAGTTAGTTCAGGATTTAATAAAGGAGTGAATGCTTTCTCACATGATGCCCGGTTGGTTTGGAGCTTTTTTTCCTAAAATAAATGAAATCATTTGAAAACTGTCATGGCTTTTTGAAGGCTTTTTGCCCACATGCAGAACACTCTCGGGAGGCAAAATGAAAAGTGAGAAAGTTTTATTGAATAAATAAACTGTTAAGAATGAATGGGTCTTCTGTGGGTTTTCTTTGACTGGAGACTTGGGAAGACGGGAACACTGGAAGCAGAGTAATTGGAGAGGTGAGTGGGCAGCGGAGCAGTCACATCAATGCTGGTGAAAACAATCAGGTTCTTACTGGGGATGAAGATGATGGTCCACCAGGGCGGAAGAGAATGATGAGATCTGGGCTTGGGCTTGAGCAGGACTTGGTCCAGATGAAGACTTATAGAAGCTACTGGATGGTAGTGAGGTTGGAGGACGGACAGGTAACACAGGTGCTTGAAGAAGAGGAGCTAGTACGTCAGTCATGGAGGTAGGAACCAGGAAAAGGTCAGATGACCATGAGACTCAGGAGAAAAACCAGAAGGACACTGGAAGTGGAGCTCAGGTCTTGTGAGAACCGTGGAATGAGAGCACAAACACTATCTATGAAGAACTAGAGAAAACACAGGTAAAGCAAACCGTGTGGCTAGAGTACCATTACAGGTAAACACTCCAGCGTCCAAGAACTGACGCCTCACTCCTCTTAAAGGCAGGAAAATGTCAGATTCTCTGCAGGTGTGTATGATAATAGCATATCTGCCCTCTGGTGACAACAGCTCCAAGGCTCCATCTGGTGGAGAACCTGAACAGGTGGAAGGAGATCGAAACCACACAAAACCCAAAACCCTGACTCACAATAAAAAAACTGTTTTTTGTATTTAATCAAGTTAAATTCAAATGTAACAATCAGAATTACATGTAACATTACTTTTCATCATGTGAAAAGCACACATAGTTTCAGCTAACAAATATCTACAACAATTTTCTAAGAATAAGTAAACTGCATTTAAAGAGATTTTGAAAGAGTTTATTTTTCTTAATTACAAATTCTGAATTAACATAATTTTGGACTAATGAATAATACTTTAAGATTGAAAACACTTCCTCCATTGCCACTGCTAAAACAATCGGCAGACTACAAATATAATACTGTGCAGGAAACTAAAAACATTGGACCAGCTGAAATTCTGCCACAAAAATCCAAGGCAAGAAAGTCAGACTGGGCTGTGTTAAGAAAATAAATTTAAAATATGCTAGTTTTAAAACTTAACATGTCTTGATTGAAATGGCCTAATTTGACCTTTTGACCTTTATGTTACCTGTAGTTACAGCAGATTGTTTGCTAAAATCTTTTGAACTGCCTTTTGTCTGTGTGGGAAACAATCAGGAGAAGTTCCAGCTTCACACTGATCCATGAAAAGCCATAAAACAGCAGGAGTTCAGGAGAAGTTCTGCTCTCACTTTGTTTAGACAAAGGGGACAACTGGTGTTTTATTTTGGAAGCAAATTCTAGGGAGTTTCTAACTTTTAAAGAGGGTCAGAGACAGTTGCTTGTTGGATGAGCAAAGATACGCCTTATTTGAATATATTAAAGACAAGAATACGCCTTTACTATAAAACTTTGTACAATGGAGGAACAAATCAGATTTGCTCTTGCAATTCTCCAAAGACGTCTTTGCTTTTCATTCTTTCTTCTTTTCCATTTGTCTCAGGTAAATGAATGTATGTCTCTGTTGTTCTGCAGTTTCTGTTGTAATTTTCAAAAGTTGTCTTCTATTGGATTAAACTCTGAAATTCTGTGACGTCGACACTCATTGTTGTTTTCTGTATGGCTTCACTTCGGCCCGCCGGGAGAACCTGGGATCCGTGAAAAGAAGATTGAGCCAGAGATTTTTCTTAAGATATATTATAACCCAAAATCTTCTTCAACAGCTATCAATCAGCATTGTAAGTAGTTTCAATTAAAATAAAAAGTAAGAATTGAGTATTCAAAAATGTTTGTATTTTCTATTTCCATCATTCAATTACAATAGGAAGTCTTCACCAAAAACACCTATGCAACTTGAACAACATAAATCATAACAATAAAAAGTAAAAAAAAAAAAAAAAGATATACTATTTAGAAATATTATTTAATCATTTGTTGTTTGTAGCTTGGAATGGCGAACTTTATGTTATTCCTATATCAATTTGATGCAGTAGAGGCTTCCGTACTTCTCATATCTGTGTCCTCTGTCACTGTTTTCAGCTGTTAAACCTGTTTAGTCCCATGTTAACACGTCGTAACCTCTTTTTCCGAGTCGCATTCAAACGCAACGTGAACGCTGAAACGCTCGCGCTGGGTTTACACCTGTGCGGCAGTGAAGGAGACCTGCTGCTGCTGTGCAGAGCTGCAGGTGTGTTAGAATCATGGCAGCAAAAGAGCAAAACGCAAATAACTTGGCACAATTTTTCCCCAAACTAACCGACTGAGTTGAGTAAAGCTGTTGGATGCAGGTAATGTTAGCTAACAGATGACTAGCTAACATCAATACAGCACCTTAAGCTTGTTAACAAGTAGCCTGTAGGCTACTGATGTTGTCTGTGTTTGGCTCCCGGATTAATTTTGTCCCACAAAAATAAGTCGATGCCCCCCCTGTTAAACTTGTCTGGAGCCAGGGTTGCACTTATGAATGCCTTGAACAAAATATTGTTATTGTATCGTTATGCAGTATCAATAAAAAAATTAACTACTTCACTTAAAAATAAATCAGTCTTACATGAAACCCATTTAAAGCTGCGTTGCATGTGATGCCTCAAGTTCGAAACGTATGCACACTAAGCTTTGGCCATCAGGTTTACATTCAAATATAACTGATAGCTTTTTAATACCTGTCAAGTCTCCCGTATTGGCCAGAAAACTAAGGTTTATTTTACCCACCTTTCCAGCTGTGCTCCAATATTACTGTTGTTCGCGTATCCATCCCACATTGCGTTCTTTCTTTCTTCTGTCCCCCCCAGTATTACATTTATTTTACTCCCTGAACTTACGTCAGGGCTTAAAATAGATGCTTTCATCATCGGTGTTGCCTGAGCAAGACAAGAGCTTTTCTAGTCTGTCAACTGAGGCATGTCCAAATTGTTTATGTAGCTTTAGCAGTACTGTATTTTTTCTCTTTTGTTGACATGTTTTCTGTCACAATGAGAATTTCATCTTCATCATTTGTCTCACTTTGTTTAAACTGGCTTTCATTATTGATCCTTTCCTTTCTTAAGTTTACACAATAATGTCCAGAAGATGTCAGTTCAAGTTTTACAGGTTGGTCAAACATCATTGCTTTGTCTTGAGCAATGTCTAAAACAGCACTCGCTCTCTTCAGTGATGTTTTGCTCAAAAGCATTGGTATATCTGCTGGAACTACTTCTGTCTCAATGTTGCATTTAGTTTTTCCTATTGTTGCAGGAATAGTCACCTTTCTTGTGGATTGCACCAGTTTTCCATCCCCAAACCGGAAAGGTCTTGCACTCTTTTCATCTTTAATCTTTATTAATTCTCTCTGAGGCAGCCCACTTACATAATCTGCAAGCCCTTTTTCACCAGTGTCAATCACAGCAGATCCCAAAGCTTCTACCATGAAGATCTGTGTGTCAGATGGGGATTCGTCTGAAAACAGAGTAATATTACATTCTTCAACATCGTCTTTTGATCCCTCAACATTTGTTAGCTTCACATGTTCTCTTTTATTGGGGCAGTCTTTTGCCCAGTGATAAATGCTCTGACATATTGCACATTTAGTTCTTCTCCCGTATTTGTCGAGTGGATTAGTCCCTGCAGCTGTTCTTGCGCTTTGCTCTGAGTTTGAACTCCATTCACGCTTGCCTGTGTATTTGGTGAAAAAGGCAGAGTCGCCCTCTTGTGGAGGATAGACATTATCACCGAAGATTCTTTTCAAAGCCGATTTCATGCTGTCAAAAGATACGGTGGAACAGGCGGTAAGAGCTAGCTGTTTATGTTTAACATTTAGCCCCGCGGTGTCTAATAGTTTGAATGCTAACACTGCATCCGGTAGTTCCACTTTGAACTTATGTAACTTGTTGTACCGTCGTTCAAATTCGATAATGTAATCCATCATGGACGTGTCTCCACGTCTGTCGATCCGACCAAATTCCGTGTAAGCTTCGTACTGTCGATCCTTTTCTTCTTTTAAAAACCCTGAATCCAGCTTGTTTAAAAGAACGCTTATTCCTGTATCGTCGTTGAGATGTTCCGCAGCGATTTCCAGCGCGCTTTCTCTCGCTCTTCCTGATAGCGACAGGGTAACCGCTAGGGCCTGTGTTCGTTATTCTGCAATAGTCAGCCACACCCTAACCCCACCACCGACTGACTACTGACCAGTTCTCTGTCTAACAGGTCCGGAAAATCCCCTAAACCTGGGTTTTACCCTAAAAGTAGGTTTACAGGAGATAATCTGTTTAAACTGGTTGCGGAGAAAACTCGTCTAGCTCTAACTACCTTCGATTCCAGAAGTTATGACCCTTTTCAGTTGAGATACAGTCAGCAGAGTAGCACTAACTGCTGCGTAGCACCAACAACCACTCCTGTTAACGGTAGCTTTTCTCCTAAAAATAACTTGCACTTGTTACCGGCTAGATTAGATTTAGTGACTTGGATTTAAGTCCCAGGGTCATTATTTTAGCACTCACCAAAGGAAAGTACGAAGCCTCCACATATCTAGAATCATGTATGCTGATTTTACTCAAAATGAGGAGAAACCACAATGATAGAATAACTAAATTAATTTCAATGTCCACCAGTTCTATGGATGTTTTTAATATGTAATTTATTAAGCAAGCTTTAGCAGGGGTAAATGTCATACAGGTACACTTCAAAGATTACAAACTTATAATTAGGTAATAAAATCAAATTAAATTCAATCAAATCCTATCTTCCTTTCTTTCCCTAACCTGTGTCGCTAATTTCACTAGGCGAGGCTTTGGGGATGCAGGACAACTCACACCCGATGGCAATTGATCTTGGCAGCTGAAATCTTCACACGTGCTTGGTCAGAGTCTCTGTTCTGCCGGAGCAAATTCCTCTTTCAGAAAAGAAGCAAAGCTGAACTGTCCGTTGTTCCATCAACCGTACAGAATCTTCATCACTCAGTGACCTTTGTCTTTTCTCCAAGTCTGCTGCAGTAGAATATGGATCGCTGGGTTGAGGCAGAGGGGACAGTCGAATCAGGGACCAGGGTTGAGGGCTGACGGATCTTGTCCTCCCTTTGCGGCGTGAAGTCTCAAGTTTCCCTCGGTCCCAGGGTGTGGTCCTCCGCTGGTCTTCAGTCTGCATCCTCTTGTTGTTCCCTCTTCAGCGCCGCGGACAAAGAACGGCTTCTACCCTTGTCCGCTGGTTTTTATACTTTTCCTTATCCATAGTTGTGTATTGGAGAGGCTCATGACTCATATGACTCATTGGGTGTAGTTTGCAAAAAGTTCGGGACTTTTCCTCAGCCCCTCCTCCTCTTCACTGACTCACTGTAGACTCTCTGGTACTTTCCTCTCTCTCTTTTGACCACATGACAGTTGATCATAACTTATTTCCTTTTATGGAGTTGTTTTAGCATCTCCGCCCAGCCTAGTGGTTTGGTTGTGACACAGTCCGTTTCTCCCTTTATGGTCTCAAATCTACAGTCCTCTCATAACTACAATCAACTCCTAACATTTTTACTTATTATTAATTTCATTCACTCATTAATCTAAATACCACAGTCAAGTTGTTATTTCCACTATCAATCTTCAGTACATAATAAACATTCCTGTTACACATTACAGTTAGTATAATTCAGGCACAGATTAAAGTTACAGAGGATATATTATAATCATTTCAACTTGTTACATATTTTTATATCTCATATTCTTAATCATCATTAAATCAATATACAAGATTACTGCTATCTCTCAGGTTTTTTCTGCGTGTACCCGGAGAGATCTCAACCTTACATACCAGTTTTCACGACATCTGCTTCTTTTTGTCCAAGTCGGTAACAAGTCTCCAGATTTCAATTTCATTTTTCCAACTTTCGTAAGACGTCTTCTCGTTGAACGGTGGGGGAACTTTGTAATTTCCAGCAGCGGCCATCCTCTGCTACCAATGTTGACTCAATAATCACATTGCTGACGTTAGCATCCACACTTTAATGGTCGCCATTAACAGTTAACAACATGCACAGTCCCTCAACAGTCCCTCCCTCTGTGATGTAGAGCTCTGTGTAGATCTGGTTCAGAAGGGTTGGACTTCCTGCTTTAGCAATCCCCTCAAACACAGACTGGAACTTCTTCTTCAGACCAGAAATAAGTTGATGTTGACAAACTGCAGCAGGATGTTCTAAAATAACACAAAAAGTAAAATCAGAGATGAAACAAAAATACCTTCTGAAGATGATTTAAATAAATGTGATTCCATTTCTTCAGACATCAGTAAATGTGTCATTTATCCATCAGGTCAAATCTTT